TTATCAAGTCCTTCGGGAAAAGGCAGCATCTCAACGGCGCGATGTGGAAAGAGCTCTCACCCGTTTCATGGCCAAGACAGGAGAAACGCAGAGTCTCTTCAAAGATGATGTCAGCACATTCCCGTGTGAGTAACCTGGGGCGCTTGGTGCTGTAAATGACGGCCGAGTACACGCTCCGTTAGAGCTCTTGCTACTGCAGGAGGGGAGCACTGAGTGACCGTGTTGTTTGCCCCTCTGAGGGGCTGGAAGGCTGGGCAATGAGGAATTTTCCGTTTAAAATGGGGATGAAACTGGAATCAAAGCCAAACGGTGGGCCCTCACCAAAGGCTCGCTTTCTTCTGCTGGTGGAGAAGGCCCTTGCTGCCGGGTGCTAAATTCAAAGCTCAACCCAATCCTGTCTCCGACCCTCTGTAACTTTTAAACAAGCAATTTGTTGTCTCTGGAGGTTTTCCTATTTCTCTGTCTGCAAAACAGTGCTGAAAATTCCTACCTTGCCAAGGCTCACTGGCAGCACAGATGTCAGTGTTATCCTAAGGGGGATCTAAGTGGTGCATCAGCCTGTCAGATAATGGAACTTTTATGGATCTCAGGAAAGACTTTTTGTGTTAGTATAATGTTGTGTCCCTGGCTGGAAACATAAAGGGGCCTCAGAAAACAGGAAATTGGAGACTGATATCTTCTAGGGATTTCATTCCTAATCCCTGGGAGCAGCAAGAAAAGAGTGTGTGTGTTTAAAACCAGAACCAGTGAAGTGTTTGGTCTCTTAAGTAACTGGTTGGCTTTGTCCTTTGTAATCTCTGACTTGAGGAGCATTCTCCCAGTTTGCTGACTGTGTCCTTTTCCCTCACCCCAGTGATTGCTGCCAGGCCTTTCACTGTACCCTACCTGACGGCTCTTCTCCCCTCGGAGCTGGAAATGCAGCAAATGGAGGAAACAGATTCATCTGAGCAAGACGACCAGACAGACACCGAGAACCTCCCCCTGCACATGAGCACGGTACGTCCGGCCTGAGAGAGCGAGGTCGCTCGGGCCCGACTTTCTCAAACATGTGAAACTTGGTTCTTTGCCCGTCTTCCTTGCAGCTGGGCAGAGTGGGTGGAAAATGGCAGAGTGGGTTGCATTTTACCAGGTGTAAATGTCTAAACATTGTCATGGTTCTTTAACTTCCTGCAGGGTGCGATGCAAAATGAGGTTGGATCGTGAGCTTTCAGTACAACCTTCATTTCAGTGTTTGGGAAGAGGGGATTGTCCTAGAATCCCACTGTTCCCAAAGGGGATCTTCTTGTGTTAGAAATCAGGAGTCTTCACCTTTAATGCAGCTCCCTGTGTGCTGCTGTTTATCTTGGCTGTTGATTATCTGTTTTGCCCATAGGCTCTGTGGTTTGAACTTCTAAGCCTTGTTTAGCTTAACTTTGGTTGTTTATGCTTATGGGTTTTTAATGTTATGGGGTTTTTGTCTTTTTTTTCATATGTGGCAGGATGATTCAGGACCTGAAAAGGAGAATGCTTCAGTGTTACAGCAGAACACCTCCCTGTCAGGCAGTCGGAACGGGGAGGAAAATGTGATAGACAATCCCTACCTCCGGCCAGTGAAAAAGCCCAAGATCCGCAGAAAGAAGTGAGGTGCAGGCAGCTGGCTGCCCCGAGGAAGAGAAACCTGGGGGGGGATTCACCTCCACTGCTGCGGGTGAGAGGCACGGAGCCAGAGAGGAGAGGCCCCACAGCTGAGCAGCAGAAGCAGAAGAATGATCTCTCGCTGCCTGGTGAACTACACTCTCGTCCTGATTTGAACTGCTCCCTCTTTCCCCTCTTCTCTCCTGCTGACTTGGAAAGGTCAACGGTCAATTGCTGTAAAAGCCTCAAAGGCCACTGGGTTATTGATGGGAATTGTCTCGTTTACGTGGTTTGTTCTCGATCTCGGCAGGATTTGCTCTTTGAAGAGACAGGGGGACACAAAGGTTCTCACTGCTCAGTGCTTCCCAGCGGGCTCTGCACAACACAAAGGCATAATTCGTTCGTGGCTGGCTGGCAGAACAGAACAGAAACTTCTGCAATCAACCCTGCCTGGCCTTATAGTTTAAGGAGCGTATATTAACAGACAGAAAAATCCCGTAGAGGTTTATTTCTTTGGATTCTTGGCAGGTGAAAAAGCAAAACAGACTCTTCTTTTATAAACTAAAGGCATCTAATGCGTTGATAAGAGAGTGAAGTGTAAATACAGAGCAAAGATGGCATTTTATTCTCACATTTCTGACTGCAGCTGTTCTTCTAACTTAAAAGTGCTAAGTGTGGTGTTTACCCTGTTCTGCTTTGAGATTATTTTCTAGCAGTATGAATGGCAAGATTTAACAGCTGCTTCAGGCTATTTTTCAGTTCTATTGTTAGTTTCAACACAGCACAATTCCTTTGAGAGTTCATGCCTTCACCAGCTGTTTTGAAAGATGCTGTGCTGAAAAACTTGGAATATGGAATAAAGCTGTATTGATTGCAGTCATCAAGGCCATGCTATTGATTGCACTTTTAAATTTTGTCCATTCTCAAATACGGGCTTTTATCAACAGAAGTTGCTCTTTTTTTCCCCCTTTTATTTCCCCAGAGCAGAAGACCTTATTTCAGCAGTGAAAATGACTAGAGGTGGATGTGTTGTAATTGTTAACTGGCTCTGGGGGGCTTTGCTTGAATTCAGCTTTTCCTTAAGCAAAATATGGGCTAAATTTCTTTGGCAAAAGACTCCTGTAGTTTGATCCAATCTTTCAGGGATCTCTTCTGGATGAAAATATGGAGCTGGGAAAGGCAGCAAAGGCTGCCTGCTACAGACTGCCAGGAGCTCGTGGTTTCCCAGAGTAGTGGCTGAAGTCTGTTGCAGTCACCGGGGGGATCAGTTACGTGTGTACATGTTCATCTCTGTTTAGTTAAGGCATCATCCTGGGCCTCCCTCTTCCCCTGCCACCGAGGGAGGAGAAAGAGAAAAAGGAGTTATTGTTTCAGTGAGAACAGAGGTGTTCCTGCCAAACAATCTGAAATTAGATCTCTAGCAAAAGTCCTGTGTGTGCCATCGTCACTTCTGCTGGTGCCTTGGTTGTACAGAGTAACAAATGTAAAGAGACGTTGTGTATATATGTATGTATATATAAAAGTTTGTATCTTTTTTTACTTGGATCAAGCAGTTTTCATAATGAGAAAATCCCTCGCTGGGTAGGGGAAAAATGTAGAATGCAAATAGTAATTTTTATGTTCATAATAAAAAAAAAATTATCTTCTACATGCAAAACTGGCTGAGTCCTTGAAGTTTCAGGAGTGGAAAAGCACCTGAATGGAGCCTGAGTGTGTTTTCAGTGGGATCTACAAGCAGTAGGAAGTCTTGTCCTTCCCTCTGCATCTCTTCCTTTCTCCACAGCAACACTTGATAGCTGGGAAGGTTGAAAAAACTTTTGTTTCATTAGAAATATGTTCGGTGAGAACAAAATGCCTTTTGAAATACCATCAGTTTTGCAAAAGCATTAGTAGAAGGTTTCTCCCACCATAGGTGGAATGTATGGTTGAGAAGGGCTGCAGAATCAGATGCTTTTTTTACTTTACATCTTCTCTTGCACATGTATTTTTCTCCTGATTAGAAGACCAAGACGGGTGGAGGTGGAGGACGCAGTATCAGCTGTGAATGCAAAGAGGAAGCCTTAAACAGCCATAAAGCCGAGGTCTTAGGACAGTACCATTTCCCCCAGTGTCATACCCTCTTCTTCAAAAGATTGCACCAAAAGGGGCAACTGCGAATCACCGAGTACATCCCCTTTTTGACAGCTGCAACTACAAAGCAGCTCTTGTGGTTGGGAGGGAAGGAACCAACGTGCCTAGATGAGGCAGGTTGTGAGCAGCTGCTGTCGTGCATCTGTGAGACCTCTCGAAGACTGAAAGTGGGAAATTGGAAGAATGCATTTTGGTTTTAGAGCTGAAATTGGGCTACAGGTGAAACTCGCTACAAAAACAGCTAAACAGACCCGGAAAATTTGAAAGCCTGCATTGTGACTGGTAGTTATATTGAGAATTAATGCTGCCTGCTCTTCTTTTTCCCCTGAGATTGAATCAAGCTTGTGATCAGACACATTAAGTCTGTGTGTGAAGGTTTGTAAACATTTATAGACATCCCGAGGGTCTAAGCTGTACATTACAGAAACAACTGATGATGAATACCAGTACCTTTCTGTTTCAGGCTAAATTTATTTTTGTGGCCAGATTCTTAATTAGCAGCATGTTGCTTGCTGCTTGCTTGAGAATATCTTCCTTGTGTCAGTAGGGAAGAAGCTAGTAATGCAAACGTGCATCTTGCAGGCTGCCTGCTCTAACCTGTCCCAGAACAGCCTCTTTCCCTAGGATGTTTGCTGTCTGCTACTTTAATATAGTTGCTGGCTCTGCATTATAAAAGCCATTATACTCTCTGAACATACCTGAGGGCAGTGCAGGACTGGTGGTGATGCTGTGTATGCCCCCATGTTTCTCAGCTCTTCTCAGGCCGTGGATGAACTCCTGGGCCTGGCGTCTGCTGGAGATGAGGAGATGGTGGTGAGAAGGCTGAGGAGAAGATGGTGCTGCTCACTCCCAGCGCTGAGGAGACAGGACAGCAGCTGAGCCACCCTCTAGCTGTGTTAATTTGCCTCCTCTCCAGTGCCGAGGATGGCTGGATTTTGGGGGAAAAGCCCCCTGAAGTGAGGGAAGCCGGATCAGGGAGGGTGGTGAGGAGAGGCAACCCCAGAGAAAATGGCCACCTGGAGAAAATGGCCGCCAGATGCTGAGAGGGGCTGTGCGTGGGCCCCCGGCGGCGCCCAGACACCCAGAGAGGCAGCTGACACCTGGCGTGATACCTGGTAAGCACAACTAGTAGCAAGAAATCCCTCTTTTGAAAATATTTTTATTTGGAGAGGCTGGGTAGTGCAGGTGAATGGCTCCATGAGTGGGAGGGAAGCAGAGGCGAGGCCTGAGGTGCCCCTCTGGAAGGGGAGGATGTATGGCGGCAGCCCGGGCTCCTCAGCTGTAGTACAAACTCAAGTAGGCCACTCGGTCCCGGTGTTTCCTATATTCTTTGTCTACGGTCAGCTAAAAGACAACAGGTATCTATTAGACATTAGCAATGACAATTGCTTCAGTAAATTGCAGGAAAACATGACATGGTGTTGAGAACCTTAAGCTATGTTTTAAATCAGAATGGTTTTCTTTTCAGCAGAGCTACACGGGGAAGTCTGTGCTCTGCTTCTCTCACTTTGTAGATGGAAACTTCCAGAGCAAATTTCTGAATAGAAAGGGTTTTTTGCAGGGCTTTAACTGTTCATGCAAACCAGCATTTTCTGATAGAAAATCACTTTCTATCTTGTGCCTCAGGCTAGTAGAGCCATGTACACAGCAGGCCAGTGAGGAAAGGCTGGCAAAACATAGTGCAAATGCATTGAAGTAATCATACAATTTCCTTTGTCATAAGCATTGAGCCAGGAATAACGTCCCTTTATCCCTCTCCTTACCTTCTGTACCTCCATTTTTAGCATCCTCTTTGCTGGCATTGGCACTAAAGACCAGTCTGGAGACCCAAACTTCATCGGCCAAGTGATTTTTTTGTGCAATCGCTTGTCTGCTTCGTAAGTTCCAGGTCTAAAGAAAACAAGCACAAAATAGCTCACTTGTGGAGCTGGTGTATGATGATTGCAATACTGAAATTTACCAGCCCTGCCTTGATCCTTGGGAGAAATGCATGTTGTGGTACTCAAGTCATCATGCTAAGTTAAAGACTAAAGCAGGGGAGCTTTTTGAAGATAAAAAAGCATTACTGGGAACTCAGTTACCTATCTCCCATCTGTGTCTTAGCATTTTTGTGCTAGTACTCCTGCTTACTATTAGAAGTATAAGAAAATGAGTTACGTTACCCAGGGAAAAATTCTTTATCTGAAGGTTTATCTGGAAATCGTGGTGTCTTAATGGAAAATGGAGCATAGGCAGGCTGGCATTTTCTTTCTTTCTTCCAGAGTGACTGGTATGCTGCTGGGCTGGGAGTCACAGTCTGCAACAGAGAAAATTTCTATATGGAAGACTTTGTTCTGCAAACCATTCCTAGAACTCAAGTAGGCCACTCGGTCCCGGTGTTTCCTATATTCTTTGTCTACGGTCAGCTAAAAGACAACAGGTATCTATTAGACATTAGCAATGACAATTGCTTCAGTAAATTGCAGGAAAACATGACATGGTGTTGAGAACCTTAAGCTATGTTTTAAATCAGAATGGTTTTCTTTTCAGCAGAGCTACACGGGGAAGTCTGTGCTCTGCTTCTCTCACTTTGTAGATGGAAACTTCCAGAGCAAATTTCTGAATAGAAAGGGTTTTTTGCAGGGCTTTAACTGTTCATGCAAACCAGCATTTTCTGATAGAAAATCACTTTCTATCTTGTGCCTCAGGCTAGTAGAGCCATGTACACAGCAGGCCAGTGAGGAAAGGCTGGCAAAACATAGTGCAAATGCATTGAAGTAATCATACAATTTCCTTTGTCATAAGCATTGAGCCAGGAATAACGTCCCTTTATCCCTCTCCTTACCTTCTGTACCTCCATTTTTAGCATCCTCTTTGCTGGCATTGGCACTAAAGACCAGTCTGGAGACCCAAACTTCATCGGCCAAGTGATTTTTTTGTGCAATCGCTTGTCTGCTTCGTAAGTTCCAGGTCTAAAGAAAACAAGCACAAAATAGCTCACTTGTGGAGCTGGGGTATGATGATTGCAATACTGAAATTTACCAGCCCTGCCTTGATCCTTGGGAGAAATGCATGTTGTGGTACTCAAGTCATCATGCTAAGTTAAAGACTAAAGCAGGGGAGCTTTTTGAAGATAAAAAAGCATTACTGGGAACTCAGTTACCTATCTCCCATCTGTGTCTTAGCATTTTTGTGCTAGTACTCCTGCTTACTATTAGAAGTATAAGAAAATGAGTTACGTTACCCAGGGAAAAATTCTTTATCTGAAGGTTTATCTGGAAATCGTGGTGTCTTAATGGAAAATGGAGCATAGGCAGGCTGGCATTTTCTTTCTTTCTTCCAGAGTGACTGGTATGCTGCTGGGCTGGGAGTCACAGTCTGCAACAGAGAAAATTTCTATATGGAAGACTTTGTTCTGCAAACCATTCCTAGATGCTCAGCATCTAGCTTAAGATGGTCAGCAGCCAGCTGGTCATTACAGACCTGCCATTCAAGGCATGCTTTGGCTATTTTGATGGCATAAAAAAATCAGAACAAGTCAAACATGCACCCCCTACTCCTTACCCAGTGTGTTCTGTGATGTCTCTCCTAATATATTATTATTCTAGAGGAGCTGGACCAGAAAGCATAGTGTGTTTGTTCAGATGGTATAGTTAAGCTCCCTCCCTGATTTTGCTTCAAAATGTATATTTACGTGTGTGTATGTGATACAAAGGAATGTGTCTATACAAATGTGTGTGTTGATGTAGCCAGAGTTCATATGATCAGTCATGGGTCTCTAGGCTCAACACCTCCCACCAGACTATCTGTAAGGAGATCATGAGACTCTGTGTAAGTTGGATGCAGCCCCAGAAGACGGGAGTGAAACTGATAGTCTATGTTAGGAACAGCCTACAAATCCTTGCAAAGCTGCAGCTCTGCCGCTTTGGAGTGTGCTTTTCTTACCTGTGGCTCTGGTATGAAACGCTGGGCTGTTCTTGCTCCTAGCACGTAGCCCTTCTGGCTCAGTGGTTTGTTTTCCAAAGAGTATCTGAAGCTGCTTCTCTGTGATTCAAAAGCAGAAGTGTCTTACTAACATTTTTAAGACAGTGTTTGCAGAAGTAAGCAGACGTTATTCCTATTCATTCCTCCAATTTCTCACTGATGTAGAGCGCTAGGGCAGCTGGAGCTTTGAGGACTGTTGCGTTTGGAAGGGGAGGGGGAATTTCTTTTCGAGATATATGTGAAGATCTCATACAACTGGTTTGCAGGGCAGGTATGGGAGCTCTGTGTCCGCCTGGCCATGGTCCTATTATTCCTATTCTGTGAAGGAAAAGCTCTGAGCTCAAAAACTGAACAACTTACCTCTTGACTCAGGTAACAGCCTGGTCCAAGCGCCGGGTTTCCACTAATGGCTATCATATGGACTCCCAGCCTGTCTGGGGCATGGTGGAAAGGGAATATTTTCCGCTCTTGACATGACCCAAATGAGATCCGCTTCTGCGCATCAGTGGGACCTGGAAAGGGAAATGCTACCAGTGTGATAAACCCATGCAGAGGTGACCACTTGCTGCTTTTTTACCTTTGTAAGACTCTCCTGCTCTCTGCCTGAGGCCAACCACCTCTTTATCTCCCAGATGGGAATTTTCCCTGACCCTGGATGTTTGTTAAGAGTCTGCCCTTTGGATGCCTGTTCCCTGCTGCCACAAAGGCTTCTTTTTCCTCAGCCTGCGTACAGAGTAGTGTAGCAGCCCAGTTGTGGAGAAGTTTGCTGGGGAAGCCCGATGTCGTGCAGCTCCCCGGTGGCAAGGAAAGCCCTGGTGCCCCTCCCAGATGGGAATTTTCCCTGACCCTGGATGTTTGTTAAGAGTCTGCCCTTTGGATGCCTGTTCCCTGCTGCCACAAAGGCTTCTTTTTCCTCAGCCTGCGTACAGAGTAGTGTAGCAGCCCAGTTGTGGAGATGTTTGCTGGGAAGCCTAATGTCGTGCAGCTCCCCGGGGACAAGGAAAGCCCTGGTGACAACAGCACACCCCCCCGGGTTCACGGATCTTGCGGGGCTCACCTCTGGTTTCCCACACCTCTGCCATGCTGCCCTGCGAGACGTTAGGATGTGTGTGTGCTCCAGTTGCTATAGACACGGAGTGGGAGGGGGCAGAAGGAATGCTGGCAATGGCAGCGCCTGAAGGGTGCAGGGAAAAGAGGAGGACAAATAAAATCCCTGTGTATTGTGCTGTGCTGGTGCTCACTCCCAGGAGCGGCTGTTTCACACTGTAATTCAATAAGGAGAGGTCTCTGTAGAAGCACTCTATAGGTTGGGCTGTCAGGAGTGTTCTCTGTGATCTCTCCTGTGGCGCAGCCCGATCTTCCCTCTTGTCTACTCTTGATCTTTTTCCCTGTGCCTGTCAGTCAAGGTAGGGCAGCAAAAAATCCCTGGAAAAACCCATACTGGAATTAAGTGCATTCAGTGCCAGCTTGTGCATTCAGACCCTTCCCTGGGCAAAAGTGTGAGTATCAGGAGAGAATCAGGGAGCATCAAAATATGAAAAGCAAGATGAGTTGAAACTGTGAGGATTGTTGCTTTTGCAGAATACTTTATTTAATCATTCTTATGTTGTGCGATTAGATCAGAGGGGTTGCTTGGAGCAATGGGACCGGTATCTTCATGGCCAGTTGCAGCAGGAGCAGCTGGTGTCAAAGACGAGGCCATTATCACAACTCTGCATGAAGGTTTCCCCATTAATGCAGTTGTAGAAGTTGCGCTTGTTGGTTGGATCTGCATAGATGCCGTTGGCCTTGCCAGCACAGAAACTGCTCCCACCGGAGCCGCCGCTCTCACTGCCATGTGTTAGACCACTGGTACAGAGATAGAAGGTGGTGGTGGTAGAATCGATGGTGGTGGTAGAAGCGGTGGTGGTAGTGGGCTGATTCGGAGACACACAGTCTGAAATAAAAGTAAGAAAAGGCTTATTTTTGTGTTGACAGTCTCTCAGCCCTCCCTTCCCTCCATAGGCCCTTAGTGCTGGGGTCAGCTATTAAGGGGTGTTCCCCCTGAGTCTGGCCTGGCTCACACCAGGCCTTAGCAATGTCTGGACCCAGGTCCAAGTCACAATCTCCCTCTTTCATTCCGCGGGATGTAGAGGGAAAGGGTCTTTCCAGGTCAATGTATAGATGTGGCTTCCACAGAAAGCCTTTGTGCACCAAGGCTCCAGAGGTACAGGTTTGTGGGTGTCTGAAGCCCGGCATCAGCAGGGAACTGGGGAGTCACCCTGAAGAAGCACACCCTGCTCAAGCTACTCACCACTGTTCTGCAGGCCCAGACCGTTCTTCAGGGTGGTGATGAGGGGATATTTTCCCTGCTTGCAGAAAGTGCCAGTGAAATCATCCAGATCGATGGCCCAAACCATAGCACCTCCAAATTTGTTCTTCTTCAGCCAGTCAACCTGTTCAGTGCCAGGGGAGAGATCCCAATTAGTCTGGGGACCTGCTGCTGCAGAAGGCCTCCTGCCTTCTTACTGGCACGGCCACACATCCCCCCGTACCTTGATGTTGAAGCTCTTGATGTTGTCATAGCCAACCCATTCGCTGCCTTTGTAAGCGTAGGGCACGTCCTGGGGGGCATCCCAAGCCTGGGTGGCTCCAGAATTCAAAAGACTGCAGATCTAAGGATCAAGAGGTAGAATTTTATTGAGTATTGTCTAAAAATGGAAAAGTTCAAGCTCTGTCATTACCTGACTTTATTTTCTAGTTTTGTGTCATTTATCTGGTCCCTGATAATAAGTAACTTTTACTTTAGGTTTTGTGAAATGAACTTAAGAAGTTCCAAGGCTTACTTGGGCACATTAGATACTACTGGGAAGAAATGAAGTATAATATCCCCTTCCTACTCTATGCCTTATGGATGCTAGAAATAATATTAGTAAATTATCTTATGGTACTGGAGGAACCATCTTTCAGAAAGGCTCCTCTGTATCACAGTCTTGCTGCTAAACTGCATAGTGATAGTCAGTTTATGAATAAAACACTTGTTTTCAAACGCAGATTCTCTCTACTATTTTACTTAGCTTTTGTTTTGCAGTTCTGTGGACAGCTTGTGTCTGAGGTACCCTTTTAGAAAACTCCCTGGTTGCCTTCCTTAAAATTATTTGAAAATTAATGTGATTAGGATACACATACCTCATAGTAAGCCAGTGTCCCGGCCTCCTGTGTGTAATGTCCAGCTGGACCAGGTCCTGATGCTGGTGCACCGAGACCGTTGTTAGATGGGTTTCGCAGTGTGAAGGTATTCCCATATGTTGCGAATCCGACAACTAGTTTCTCAGCTGGGGCACCATGGCTCTTCCAATAGTTCATAGCATAATCCTATAAGAAAAAATTCCTGTTCAAGTCTTTGCCAGGATTTGTAGGCAGAAAGATGAATTTCTAAACTTCTCATCACTGGCATGATCACAGACTTGAGATTTGTGACACAGTCCCACAAAATCCACGTACAACGTTGAAGTATATGAAGTCCCCAGTGTCAGCTGGGCCTTTGTACAGAGGGCTGTTCTCCCCGGTGTTTGTGTCCCAGGAGCCATGGAAGTCGTAAGTCATCACATGGATGTAGTCCAGGTACCTGTAGAGAACATTGCACACATCTATCTCCTGGCCTACTTGATCATCTAGATGTGAAGGTTCCTGTAGTGCTGGCCGTTTACCCCACCACATCCATGGCCATGTCCCCACTTTCTGCAAATCCGGGTTCTTCAAGACCATTTTTGAGCTGGCCTTGAAGTGCTGGAGCCAATTCTCTCCTCCAGTGGAGGGAGGCAAAGGTCAAGGCAGAGTGTGAATTGTGCTGGTATTCTGGGATCCAAGAGATGCTCCATGATGGTGTTGAGTGGCTGGAGCCAGTCTGTTGTTACACTTTCCTTCTCCAAGTGTCCCCTTTTCCACCAAACTATCACCACTCTTGTAGGGTTCTTGCCATACACAAAAGAGTAGGAACCCCACATGCAACGAGGTTGGTTTCTGACAGATAACGGCAGAGTTTCCCTTAATCACATATAGGAAGACCAGTTAAGTCATGGAAACAGTATCTAGGGATTTGCTACTCACTTTCCAAGCTCAGGAATCTCGTAGCCAGCCTCAATCTTGGAAACTCCTGCAGCAACAGCAGCGGTGACCATGAGACGGGGCTTGTTGGACTGTTTGGCTTCCTGCTCAAAGGCTGCCACCAGTTCCTGAGGGATGCCAAGAAACGGGTCTCACTGTGGACTCTCTGGCCTGAGACTTGGCAGCCAGAGCTGTGCAGAGCAGAGGGCTTGACCAAAGCCTGTTGTTTCACCCTACCTTAACGAGGACGGTAAAGAGAGCCTTGTCCTGGGCTGGGCTGCCCCTGGACCCAGGGTATTCCCAGTCAAGGTCCAGCCCATCAAACTGATACTGGCGCAGGAATTTGATGACGGACTTGATGAAGGTCTGGCGGTTCCTGGGTGTGGACACCATTGTGGTGAACCTATCGAGGCAATACAGGAGAGAGTTGGGATTTAGCTTGTGCTTCTTTCCTGTTCTCCTTCCATTTCCCGGGTGCCATTATGTGAAGGAGATGGTTTGAACTTACTTGTCTGACCCAAAATTCCATCCTCCTATAGAAAGCAAAGTCTTCAGATTGCTGTTCCTGCAAAGGGAGGGACAGGAACATGTTTCACTACAAGGAATGGTTTAGTCTTCCCAATTTCTAACATTACACAACAGACCAACTCAAAGCACAGGACCCTTGCTTTTCTTGAAAGTGTCTGATGTAGCAGCCTTTGTCTGCTGTGATCTCTTGATGTCATCGCTGGAAGTGTTCAAGACCATGCTGGACAGGGCTTTGAGCAACCTGGTCTAGTTGGAGGTGTCACTGCCCATGGTAGTAGGGTTGGAAGTGATGATCTTTTAAGTACCTTCCAACTTAAACCATTCTATGATTCTATGAAACCTGAAGACCATCTCTGCAGTGCACTGAGACATTGTCACAAACCTCAAAGGACCAGCCCTGGCAGCTTGTCCTCCCCTGCCCTCCCCTGCCCATCACTCTCTGCCTCTTCTCCTCGGGATCCCTCAGCCATGGATGGTGCTGCCGTTGTGCAGAGAAGAGACACTGAATAATGGACAGGGCCTGAGAGGGAGAACCAGGGATGCCCTTTGCTGTCGGTACGTACTGGTTCTTCAGGCCGTTGAAGGATTTGTAAAGGGTCTCGTCGTTCCATTCGTAAGTGGTGATCTCGTTGTTGTTCATCCCAGCAAAGGCGTATAGTAGGTGGGTGCACAGGCAGGGGTCGATGTCATCTGGCATGAATTTTCCCAGGCCAGGCCTGTACTGGGCCCAGTTGGTGAAGTAACATGACAGCACATAGGCAGTGCCTGCAGAGACAGAGAGGAGATGTGGTTGGGAGAGAAAAGAGCAGCGAGGACGTGTCTCTGCAATGCAGAAGGGGCAGGTACCTTGCTGCGTGAGGCTGTGTGACTTCCTATAACCATTGTTCAAGTCACCCAGCAAAGGGAAAAGTGCCCTGGGCTGCACTTGGGAGTTAGTTCCTGCATGAGGCAGATATAATCTTCGGGCAGTGTTTCCCTGCAGGGGGAACATTGTGTTTGAGTAGAGGAGTGTATCTAGGAGGTTCCTGCACCCTAAAACTCATGAATGAGGGTGGTTCCGAGTGCTGGGTCTCTTCCCCAAAGGGAATCTCTTTCTCCTTTGCTGCCACGGAAGGAAGAACAGAGGCAGAGGGATCTCTGGTGAGGTGCCTGGAAGGTGGAAGGCTCTTTGTGTGTTTGCTGTGCTGCCCGTTGGAGCTGTCTGTAGATGCTGACTCTGAAAAGGGTTTGATAGGGTAGTTTTTGGGATAGAAAGCACATACCTATCTGGGCGTTCAGCAGGAGAACCAGACCTATAAAGAGAAGAGTTAAAGAACAAAGGTGTAAGTGTTTGTACTTAGAAAGAACTAGACTGAACCCAATCCGACCTTAAACAGTGAAAGAGCCCCAAATACTTGTGGAAAAGGCAGAGAAGTAAGTTCTGAAGCAGGACTTACCGGTCAGCAGGGTGAGCTTGGCCATCTTGGACCAGAACTGATGTGGTGCAGACCGTCTCCCACTTTTATACGCTCCTCTCACTTCCTGCCAGTCTTGCGTCAGCAAAGATGGACAAACATTATGGTGATGGTATTGAACGGTATCACACAAAAATGTACCAGTACAATGGGCTTAACACTCCAGGTGGAGACAACACCAATATCAGGCTGTGCCATGTCGTGGTGCTGTAAGAACATTGGAAGAACAAGATTAGATGGCTTTTCATCTTAAAAATATATTTACAGCGCCAAGCTTTGTGTCAACAGTGGTGCTTACGCAGGGAGAGGTGGCTGAAATGTTCACCTTGTGCTGTCATTGTGCCTGCCCGGAGGAGGCAGGCACTGGGAGACCAACAGTGGTTATGGTTACAAGAGAGAGCCCAGGGATAGAGCATCATGAAGGTGTTATTTCCTCTCGCACTCCTTCCATCCTCTTTTTGCTCAGCTTTCTCCCAAAGTGAGAGCCCTCTCTGTTGCCAAGCATTGCTGTCTTGCCTTGGCTGTCAGTGAAGTGCCAGAGGAAGGTATTACCGGAATCTCTTTTATTCCGTATGAGCTTGTCTCATGTTGTTGTTTTCGGGATGTAGTATCTTTCTTCTAAGCATATCTGAATGAAACATTTTAAAAGGCAGTTTGAGATGCTGAAAATGATCTTTTTAAATCAGAACATTCTCTCTGCACACCAGGTACTGCCAGGGCTAGTGAAAATGGTGCAATAAGGCACCGCAGGGACACGGTCAGTAGCTCTGCATGGAGATGTTGATTAAAACCTGTTAAGATGATGTGACGGTGAATTTATAGTTGGTCATCCAGACGTGCTTGAATGTAAGCCCTGTAAAGATCCTCAAAGTTGCCCACATCAGGTGAGGGAACTGAATTGACTGATCTGCCACTAAATTTCATTAGACTTCTAGATTTGTATATGGAGTGGGTGAAATATGGTGAATGACGACAGAGGTTTGTCAGAGTCAGGCACAGCACTTGCACAGCCTTGCACCCATCCCACGTGAGATGTGTCTGACAACTGACTCTCAGCAAACTCTCTGAAAACTGCTCTTTTCCCAAAGACCGTAGCCGTCCTGGCCTTGCCAACCTCGGTGCACACGAGCCATTGCTTTTGAGAGGTTGTTTGCTCTCCCAGCTCTTGCCGTGGAGATTAGGCAGGTCCCTGTGGCAGGCCCAGCTGGGGAGAAATGTGAAGGTCAATGCAATGGTGGCACGTGTTTTGGAGAGCCCTGTGCTCACCTTATCTGGCTGCAGAGGTCTGGGTATCGCTCTCCTGGTCCCGGGAGGTTGGAGCTGGCGGCCGATTCGGGCATTTGTGCTGGTGGCAGCGTCACGACAGCCCAGGGTCCTGTTAGCGATGCAGAGAGATGTACTGGGGAGAGGGGCCCTTGGCTGGGGAGATGTGTATGGAAGGTCTGGGTTTGGGTTTCCAAGTGCAGGGAGGCTGCTTTCCATCCCATTGGCAATGCCAAGATGCTGTTGAGCTCAGAGAAATGCCTTCTTGGTGGGAGCTATGAGTGTTTTGGGCTGCTGATCTGATGTTCCTCCCAGTATGGTTTTCCTTAGTGTTGAGTGGTATCTTGGAGATTCCATGTGAATTTTCCTATGGGGATTTATCCCAGATATGTCTGCATATATGTCTATATAGATCCTGTGTTGCCAGAGTTCATAGGATCAGTCATGAAGTCTTACATTTAGCCCAAGCATTTCCCTGCTGTCAGGCTCTGACTCTGATTCTGTTTCTGCTGCCAGGCTCAGAGTCTGTCTCTGAAAAAATGATTAATGACCAATGAAAGTGGGGGCAAATTCTCTCTACAAATTCTTGCAAATCTGTCTCTCTGCTTCTTTGAGATCTGATGTTCCTCACTGCAGGCAGACCGTATCATGCCGCCACAGAGACAATCTGTTGCCAGTATGGTTTTCCTTAGTGTTGAGTGGTATCTTGGAGATTCCATGTGAATTTTCCTATGGGGATTTATCCCAGATATGTCTGCATATATGTCTATATAGATCCTGTGTTGCCAGAGTTCATAGGATCAGTCATGAAGTCTTACATTTAGCCCAAGCATTTCCCTGCTGTCAGGCTCTGACTCTGATTCTGTTTCTGCTGCCAGGCTCAGAGTCTGTCTCTGAAAAAATGATTAATGACCAATGAAAGTGGGGGCAAATTCTCTCTACAAATTCTTGCAAATCTGTCTCTCTGCTTCTTTGAATCTGGCTTTTCTTACCTGTGGGTCTGGTATTAAACACTGAGCTGCTGTTGCTGCTCTCGCAAAGCCTTTCTTGCTCTGTGCTTTCTTTTCCAGGGAGTAGCTGCTTCCCCATTGTTTGAAAGCAAAAGCTTCTTCCTGACCATTTAAGACACCATTTACATCAGGGGAAGGGCAGAAGTGCCTGAGGATCAGCAGCAACAGAGGTCACTCCCACTCATTTCTCTTCTCTAAGCAGGAGCCTTTGAAGGGAGAGGTGAAGGAACAGTTTGGTGATTCCATCCTTACGCTACCACAAACCATACAGAGAACATTTGGGGCTCTAGGACACATCAGGAGTCTGCTCAGGAGGAGAGTGCTTTTCCCTGGACAAATGCAGAGGCCTTGCATGAGGGCTCTCTGTCCTGGTTGTGCCTCTGTGACCCTTCTCTGTGTGCTCTCCCATGGCACAGCCAGATCTGCTCTGTCTCTTCCTCCTACTTTTTTTCCTCCCACTACCTGCCCCGCTGGTACATCAGCAAAGCCCTGGAAATGCCAGTTTATGGCTGTTCAAAGAGAAGAGGTTTGATAACTTCCCCATGGATTGCACCTTTCTGGCTCCCACTTCAAGGAGCTGCTGTTTCACATGGTAGTTTGGTAAGAAGAGGTCTCTGGAGAAGCACTCCAGAGCTTGTGCATTCCGGCCCTTCTCTGAGCACAAGTGTGAGTATCAGGAGGGAAACGGGGAGCATCAATGTGTGAACAGCATGAAAAGTTGAAACTGCGAGGATTGTTGCTTTTGAGGAATACTTTATTTAATCATTCTTATGTTGTGCGAATAGATCAGAGGGGTTGCTGGGAGCAATGGGACCGGTATCTTCATGGCCAGTTGCAGCAGGAGCAGCTGGCGTCGAAGACGAGGCCGGCCTGGCAGGTCTGCATGAAGGTTTCCCCATTAATGCAGTTGTAGAAGTTGCTCTTGTTGGTTGGATCTGCATAGATGCCGTTGGCCTTGCCAGCACAGAAGCCGCTGCCACCAGAGCCACCACCAGAGCCGCCGCTGCCACTGCCACCTCCTTGGCTAGGAGCTTCAGTGATGGGAGGATTGGGATGAGCTGGAGGCACACAGTCTGAAAGAAAAGCAGGAAACGGCTTATTTTTGTGTCATAATCTCCCTCTTTCATTCCGCGGGATGTAGAGGGAAAGGGTCTTTCCAGGTCAATGTATAGACGTGGCTTCCACAGAAAGCCTTTGTGCACCAAGGCTCCAGAGGTACAGGTTTGTGTGTGTCTGAAGCCCGGCATCAGCAGGGAACTGGGGAGTCACCCTGAAGAAGCACACCCTGCTCAAGCTACTCACCACTGTTCTGCAGGCCCAGACCGTTCTTCAGGGTGGTGATGAGGGGATATTTGCCTTCCTTGCAGAAAGTGCCAGTGAAGTCATCCATATCAATGGCCCAAACCATAGCACCTCCAAATTTGTTCTTCTTCAGCCAGTCAACCTGTTCAGTGCCAGGGGAGAGATCCCAATTAGTCTGGGGACCTGCTGCTGCAGAAGGCCTCCTGCCTTCTTACTGGCATGGCCACACATCCCCCCGTACCTTGATGTTGTAGCTCTTGATGTTGTCATAGCCAACCCATTCGCTGCCTTTGTAAGCGTAGGGCACGTCCTGGGGGGCATCCCAAGCCTGGGTGGCTCCATTGGCCAGGAATGTGCAGATCTAGGAAGAAAAGGGCAGAGAGGGAGAAGTTAGCAAGTGTCCTACAGAAGAGGGCAGTTGGCATGTTCCGTGGGTGTAGGGGTTAAACGTTCCCTGCTGGGTAGTTTGAAGGGTGTCTGTGTTCTTGGTGGCCAGCATGTGTAGGGGCACACATACCTCGTAGTAAGCCAAGAATCCAGCCTGCCTTGTGTAAGGTCCAGCTGGCCCAGGTCCAGTTGCTGGTGCCCCAACAGCGGTGTTAGATGGGTTTTGGAGGATGTAGTTATGTCCGTAGGTTGCAAATCCAACAAGGAGCTTCTCGGCTGGGGCGCCATTGTTCTTCCAGTAGTTCATAGCAAAATCCTACAAAAGAGACCCACAGGTCAAGTGGGTGCCAGGATGTGTAGCCAGGAGGATGCCTCCTTAAGCTTCTCATCATGGGTGTCAGGATCATCTTCTATGACACCATCTCGGAAAATATACGTACGACATTGAAGTAGATGAGGTCCCCGGTGTCAACTGGGCCTTCGTACAGAGGGCTGTTCTCACCAGTGACTCCATCCCAAGAGCCGTGGAAGTCATAAGTCATCACGTGGATGTAGTCCAGGTACCTGTGGAGAACATTGCTTGCATCTGTCTCCCGGCTGCTCAGTCACCCAGACCAGAGGGTTCTTGTAGTGCTGGCCATCTACCCCTCCACATCCCTGATCATGTCCCCACTTTCTGCAAAGCTGGGCTCTTCAAGACCTTTCTTGAGCTGGCCTTGAAGTGCTGGAACCAGTTCTCTCCTCCAGTGGCAGGAGGCAAAGGTCAAGGCTGAGCGGGAATTGAACTGGTACTCTGGGAACTGGGAGACAGTGCTACTCACTTTCCAAGCTCAGGAATCTCGTAGCCAGCCTCAATGGTGGAACGACCTCCAGCAACAGCAGCGGTGACCATGAGACGGGGCTTGTTGGACTGTTTGGCTTCCTGCTCAAAGGCTGCCACCAGTTCCTGAGGGATGCCAAGAAACGGGTCTCACTGTGGACGCTCTGGCCTGAGGTTTTTTCATCTGTCCAGGGCTCTGGCCAGAGCTGTGCAGAGCAGAGGGCTTGACCAAAGCCTGTTGTTTCACCCTACCTTAACGAGGACGGTAAAGAGAGCCTTGTCCTGGGCTGGGCTGCCCCTGGACCCAGGGTATTCCCAGTCAAGGTCCAGCCCATCAAACTGATACTGGCGCAGGAATTTGATGACGGACTTGATGAAGGTCTGGCGGTTTGCGGGTGTGGACACCATTGTGGTGAACCTATGGAAGCAGAGCAGGAGAGAGTTGGGGTTTGGCTGGTGCCTCTTGCCCCCTCTCCCTCTGCTTCCAGGGTGCCGTGATGGGAAGTATGAACTTACTTGGCTGTCCCGAAATTCCATCCTCCAATCGCCAGGAGGGTCTTCAGTTTTCCGTTCCTGCAAAGAGAGGGACATCAACATGTTTTAAAATGAGGAATAGTTGAGTCTTCTCTATTTCACAACAGACCAGCACAAGTCACAGGGCTCTTGTGTTTCTTGAAAGTGTCTGGTGTAGGCTTGTGATCTCTGGATGTGAAATCCACAGCGCCCTGAGTCACTGTCACCACCCAAAAGGACCAGCGCTGGCACCTTGTCCTCCCCTGCCCTCCCCTGCCCATCACTCTCTGCCTCTTCTCCTCGGGATCCCTCAGCCACGGATGGTGCTGCCGTTGTGCAGAGAAGAGCTGCTGGGAGGGCCTGGGAGGGAGAACCAGGGATGGCCTTTGCTGTCGGTACGTACTGGTTCTTCAGGCCGTTGAAGGATTTGTAAAGGGTCTCGTCGTTCCATTCGTAAGTGGTGATCTCGTTGTTGTTCATCCCAGCAAAGGCGTAGATCAGATGGTCGCACAGGCAGGGGTCGATGTCATCTGGCATGAACTTTCCCAGGCCAGGCCTGTACTGGGCCCAGTTGGTGAAGTAACATGACAGCACATAGGCAGTGCCTGCAGAGACAGAGAGGGAGTGGGGGAGATTTGGGCTGCATTTCAGAGGTGTTTCTAACGTGAGGCAGAGGATGGTACTGGATCTGCTGAGAAGGGATTGGGCAGTGTTTCCCTGCAGGGCAGGGAGTTCGGAGAGAGGGAAGTAGGGTTGGTTATCCCTTTGGGAAGAGGCTCTCCAAGAATCAAAGGGATTTCTGTTCTTTCTACTCTTTCAGTAGATAGACTGGTCTAGGAGGTTCCTGCACCCTAAAACTCATGAATGAGGGTGGTTCTGAGTGCTGGGTCTCTTCCCCAAAGGGACTCTTTCTCCTTTGCTGCCACAGAAGGAAGAACAGAAGCAGAGGGATCTCTGGTGAGGTGCCTGGAAGGTGGAAGGCTCTTTGTGTGTTTGCTGTGCTGCCCGTTGGAGCTGTCTGTAGATGCTGACTCTGAAAAGGGTTTGGTAGGGTAGTTTTTGGGATAGAAAGCACATACCTATCTGGGCGTTCAGCAGGAGAACCAGACCTATAAAGAGAAAAGGTAAAGAACAAAGGTGTAAGTGTTTGTACTTAGAAAGAACCGGACTGAACCCAATCTAACCTTAAACAGTGAAAGAGCCCCAAATAGTTGTGGAAAAGGCAGAGAAGTAAGTTTTGAAGCAGGACTTACCGGTCAGCAGGGTGAGCTTGGCCATCTTGGACCAGAACTGATGTGGTGCAGACCGTCTCCCACTTTTATACGCTCCTCTCACTTCCTGCCAGTCTTGCGTCAGCAAAGATGGACAAACATTACAGAAGTTGGTAAAGATGAGTATCAGCCAAACGTGATACCAGTACAATGGGCCTTAACGCTCCAGGTGGAGGAGACATCCCCAATATCAGGCTGTGCCATGCTGTGGTGCTGCAAGAACAGTGGAAGAACAAGATTAGATGGGTTTCCATCTTACAAATGTTGTTTAAAGCAACGGGCTTTGTGTCAACAGTGAGGATTAGGCAGTGAGGGGTGGGTGAAGTGTTCACCTTGCGCTGTCATTGTCTCTGCCCAGAGGTGGCAGGCACTGCCAGACCCAAGGTAACTCGCAAAGGTCATTTTCTTCAGGCAGAAGCACGATTTCTTGGAGGCCAAGCTCTATGAGAGAGAGCCCAGGGACAGAGCATCAGGCAGGGGTCATTTTCTCTCGCACTTCTTCCCTCCTCTTTTTGCTCAGCTTTCTCCCAAATTTATTCTACATGAGCTTCTCAGTGGTAATTGTTGTTTTTTGTTGGAAGAGATCTGTGGTTTCTTTCCTTTTGCACACCAGGCACTGCCAGGGCTGGAGTCAATGGGGGAGTGAGACCCCGCAGGGACGTGGCCAGTTGCTCGGCACTGAGATGTTGCTTAATTCCTGCTAAGATGATGTCAAGGTGAATTTCCAGTCAGTCCCCCAGACTTGGTTGAATGGGAGCCTGGCAAACAGCCTCAAAGTTGCCTGTATCAGGTGCTGGCACTGAAGTCACTGACCTGCAGGTTAAAATGCATTTGACCGACCCTGGCACACACTGGGTGAGATACGGCAGATAACGAAAGGGACAACCATCTTCAAGGAGTACTTTTCCACTGTGTTTCTTGGTCGATAAAGTAGCACAGAACAAACTCAATGGGACTAGATGTGGAAAATCCCGCCCTGAGCGACCTCTGGAGCCTGGCCGGTCTGTTATCTGCAGAGGTATGTTTGGGAGTGAAAAGGAGAGCATTTGGGGACGGAGCAAGGACACGGGTTTGTCTGCATGTGGTGGTAACCAATGTCAGTTGGTCAAATCCCGAGGTTTGGTAAAGTGTGAAGGTCAATGCAATGGTGGCACGTGTTTTGGAGAGCCCTGTGCTCACCTTATCTGGCTGCAGAGGTCTGGGTATCGCTCTCCTGGTCCCGGGAGGTTGGAGCTGGCGGCCGATTCGGGCATTTGTGCTGGTGGCAGCGTCACGACAGCCCAGGGTCCTGTTAGCGATGCAGAGAGATGTACTGGGGAGAGGGGCCCTTGGCTGGGGAGATGTGTATGGAAGGTCTGGGTTTGGGTTTCCAAGTGCAGGGAGGCTGCTTTCCATCCCATTGGCAATGCCAAGATGCTGTTGAGCTCAGAGAAATGCCTTCTTGGTGGGAGCTATGAGTGTTTTGGGCTGCTGATCTGATGTTCCTCACTGCAGGCAGACCGTGTCCTGCCGCCACGGAGACAATCTGTTGTCAGTATGGTTTTCTTGGTGTGGAGTGGTATCTTGGGGATTCCTTGTGAATTTTCCTCTGGGGATTTACCCCAGATATGTCTGCATATACGTCTCTATGTAGATCCTGTGTTGCCAGAGCTCATAGGATCAGTCATGAGGCCATTGGATTAGCGCAAAGATTTCTGCATTGCCAGGCTTTGTGTGTGGAGATCTGTGACTCCCCAGCACTCTGAGACTGGCCCGTGTTTGCCTGTGTGCTACAGCCCCCAGCACCTAGAAGCCTCCTGGTTTTCCAGCTCTCTCTGCTTCCCTGACAGAGTCTGTTTCTGAAAAAATGATTCATGACCAATGAAGCTGAGGACAAAAACCTGGAGCAACTGACGTCTGCAGGTGATGGAAGACTCTTGAGCACTTTTTCTGCACTTCTGCCTGTTGGTAGGAGCTGTTCTGAAAGCCAAGCGTGCCCAAGTGTAGTGGAGGCTGATGCTCTTGGGCAGGTCCCCAGGGCTCCTGCATCAGTTCTGCTTCTCCGTCGCGGCTGAAGTGCTGTGTGGGACTGAGTGCTCTGTGTGGGTGAACTGCTCCCCCAGCACGTGTGAGCGAAACTGATACTCTGTGGTGGGAACAGCCTACAAACTCTTGCAAAGCCGTGGCTGTCCTGCTTTGAGACTGGTTTTTCTTATTTGTGCGTCTGGTAGGAAACACTGGTCTGCTCTTGCTGTTATCACAAAGCCTTTCTTATTCTGTAGTGTGTTTTCCAGTGAGTATCTGAGACTGTTTTTTTTGTTTAAAAGCAGAAACCTCTCATGTTTTAAGACACCATTTACATCAGGGGGAGGGCAGAAGTGCCTGAGCAGCAGCAGCAGAGTCACTCCCACTCAGTATGAACTTACTTGGCTGTCCCGAAATTCCATCCTCCAATCGCCAGGAGGGTCTTCAGTTTTCCGTTCCTGCAAAGAGAGGGACATCAACATGTTTTAAAATGAGGAATAGTTGAGTCTTCTCTATTTCACAACAGACCAGCACAAGTCACAGGGCTCTTGTGTTTCTTGAAAGTGTCTGGTGTAGGCTTGTGATCTCTGGATGTTGAATTCGGACGTGCCCAGCTGAACCATTCCCGCAGCAGGGAGTGATTGATGCCTCATGGCCTGAGCACCAGGGCTGTGGGGGTGAAATCCACAGCGCCCTGAGTCACTGTCACCACCCAAAAGGACCAGGCTTTGCAGACTGGTTATTTTGGAAGGTGCTTTTTCCAGGAGGAGCGTGCTTTTTGAGCTGCTGGGAGGGCCTGGGAGGGAGAACCAGGGATGGCCTTTGCTCTCGGTACGTACTGGTTCTTCAGGCCGTTGAAGGATTTGTAAAGGGTCTCGTCGTTCCATTCGTAAGTGGTGATCTCGTTGTTGTTCATCCCAGCAAAGGCGTAGATCAGATGGTCGCACAGGCAGGGGTCGATGTCATCTGGCATGAACTTTCCCAGGCCAGGCCTGTACTGGGCCCAGTTGGTGAAGTAACATGACAGCACATAGGCAGTGCCTGCAGAGACAGAGAGGGAGTGGGGGAGATTTGGGCTGCATTTCAGAGGTGTTTCTAACGTGAGGCAGAGGATGGTACTGGATCTGCTGAGAAGGGATTGGGCAGTGTTTCCCTGCAGGGCAGGGAGTTCGGAGAGAGGGAAGTAGGGTTGGTTATCCCTTTGGGAAGAGGCTCTCCAAGAATCAAAGGGATTTCTGTTCTTTCTACTCTTTCAGTAGATAGACTGGCCTTTGGGAAGAGGCTCTCCAAGAATCAAAAGGGATTTCTTTCCTTCCTGCTATGTTTGAGTAGAGGAGTGTGTCTAGGAGGCTCCTGCACCCTAAAACTCGTGAATGAGGGTGGTTCTGAGTGCTGGGTCTCTTCCCCAAAGGGACTCTTTCTCCTTTGCTGCCACAGAAGGAAGAACAGAAGCAGAGGGATCTCTGGTGAGGTGTCTGGAAGGTGGAAGGCTCTTTGTGTGTTTGCTGTGCTGCCCGTTGGAGCTGTCTGTAGATGCTGACTCTGAAAAGGGTTTGGTAGGGTAGTTTTTGGGATAGAAAGCACATACCTATCTGGGCGTTCAGCAGGAGAACCAGACCTATAAAGAGAAAAGGTAAAGAACAAAGGTGTAAGTGTTTGTACTTAGAAAGAACCGGACTGAACCCAATCTAACCTTAAACAGTGAAAGAGCCCCAAATACTTGTGGAAAAGGCAGAGAAGTAAGTTCTGAAGCAGGACTTACCGGTCAGCAGGGTGAGCTTGGCCATCTTGGACCAGAACTGATGTGGTGCAGACCGTCTCCCACTTTTATACGCTCCTCTCACTTCCTGCCAGTCTTGCGTCAGCAAAGATGGACAAACATTACAAAAGTTGGTAAAGATGAGTATCAGCCAAAGGTGATACCAGTACAATGGGCCTTAACGCTCCAGGTGGAGGAGACATCCCCAATATCAGGCTGTGCCATGCTGTGGTGCTGCAAGAACAGTGGAAGAACAAGATTAGATGGGTTTCCATCTTACAAGTGTTATTTAAAGCGACGGGCTTTGTGTCAACAGTGAGGAGTGAGGGGTGGGTGAAGTGTTCACCTTGCGCTGTCATTGTCTCTGCCCAGAGGTGGCAGGCACTGGGAGACCCAAGGTAACTCGCAAAGGTCATTTTCTTCAGGCAGAAGCACGATTTCTTGGAGGCCAAGCTCTATGAGAGAGAGCCCAGGGACAGAGCATCAGGCAGGGGTCATTTTCTCTCGCACTTCTTCCCTCCTCTTTTTGCTCAGCTTTCTCCCAAATTTATTCTACATGAGCTTCTCAGTGGTAATTGTTGTTTTTTGTTGGAAGAGATCTGTGGTTTCTTTCCTTTTGCACACCAGGCACTGCCAGGGCTGGAGTCAATGGGGGAGTGAGACCCCGCAGGGACGTGGCCAGTTGCTCGGCACTGAGATGTTGCTTAATTCCTGCTAAGATGATGTCAAGGTGAATTTCCAGTCAATCCCCCAGACTTGGTTGAATGGGAGCCTGGCAAACAGCCTCAAAGTTGCCTGTATCAGGTGCTGGCACTGAAGTCACTGACCTGCAGGTTAAAATGCATTTGACCGACCCTGGCACACACTGGGTGAGATACGGCAGATAACGAAAGGGACAACCATCTTCAAGGAGTACTTTTCCACTGTGTTTCTTGGTCGATAAAGTAGCACAGAACAAACTCAATGGGACTAGATGTGGAAAATCCCGCCCTGAGCGACCTCTGGAGCCTGGCCGGTCTGTTATCTGCAGAGGTATGTTTGGGAGTGAAAAGGAGAGCATTTGGGGACGGAGCAAGGACACGGGTTTGTCTGCATGTGGTGGTAACCAATGTCAGTTGGTCAAATCCCGAGGTTTGGTAAAGTGTGAAGGTCAATGCAATGGTGGCACGTGTTTTGGAGAGCCCTGTGCTCACCTTATCTGGCTGCAGAGGTCTGGGTATCGCTCTCCTGGTCCCGGGAGGTTGGAGCTGGCGGCCGATTCGGGCATTTGTGCTGGTGGCAGCGTCACGACAGCCCAGGGTCCTGTTAGCGATGCAGAGAGATGTACTGGGGAGAGGGGCCCTTGGCTGGGGAGATGTGTATGGAAGGTCTGGGTTTGGGTTTCCAAGTGCAGGGAGGCTGCTTTCCATCCCATTGGCAATGCCAAGATGCTGTTGAGCTCAGAGAAATGCCTTCTTGGTGGGAGCTATGAGTGTTTTGGGCTGCTGATCTGATGTTCCTCACTGCAGGCAGACCGTGTCCTGCCGCCACGGAGACAATCTATTGTCATTATGTTTTTCTTGGTGTGGAGTGGCAGTGTTGGAGATTCCTTGTGAATTTTCCTCTGGGGATTTACCCCAGATATGTCTGCATATACGTCTCTATGTAGATCCTGTGTTGCCAGAGCTCATAGGATCAGTCATGAGGCCATTGGATTAGTGCAAAGGTTTCTCTGCTGCCAGGCTTTGTGTGTGGAGATCTGTGACTCCCCAGCACTCTGAGACTGGCCCGTGTTTGCCTGTGTGCTACAGCCCCCAGCACCTAGAAGCCTCCTGGTTTTCCAGCTCTCTCTGCTTCCCTGACAGAGTCTGTTTCTGAAAAAATGATTCATGACCAATGAAGCTGAGGACAAAAACCTGGAGCAACTGACGTCTGCAGGTGATGGAAGACTCTTGAGCACTTTTTCTGCACTTCTGCCTGTTGGTAGGAGCTGTTCTGAAAGCCAAGCGTGCCCAAGTGTAGTGGAGGCTGATGCTCTTGGGCAGGTCCCCAGGGCTCCTGCATCAGTTCTGCTTCTCCGTCGCGGCTGAAGTGCTGCGTGGGACTGAGTGCTCTGCGTGGGTGAACTGCTCCCCCAGCACGTGTGAGCGAAACTGATACTCTGTGGTGGGAACAGCCTACAAACTCTTGCAAAGCCGTGGCTGTCCTGCTTTGAGACTGGTTTTTCTTATTTGTGCGTCTGGTAGGAAACACTGGTCTGCTCTTGCTGTTATCACAAAGCCTTTCTTATTCTGTAGTGTGTTTTCCAGTGAGTATCTGAGACTGTTTTTTTTGTTTAAAAGCAGAAACCTCTCATGTTTTAAGACACCATTTACATCAGGGGGAGGGCAGAAGTGCCTGAGCAGCAGCAGCAGAGTCACTCCCACTCATTTCTCTTCTCCAAACAGGTGCCTTTGAAATGAAACTTTGTTGGGAGAGGAGAAGGAGCAGTTTGGTGATTCCACCCTTAGGCTGCCACAATGGGCCATGAGTGTCCCTGGTGCTCAGACCGTGGAAAGGACTTTGGAGGCTCTGGGACACATCAGGACTCTGCCTGTGAATTCGGACGTGCCCAGCTGAACCATTCCCGCAGCAGGGAGTGATTGATGCCTCATGGCCTGAGCACCAGGGCTGTGGGGGCTTTGCAGACTGGTTATTTTGGAAGGTGCTTTTTCCAGGAGGAGCGTGCTTTTTCCTGGACAAATGTAGAGGCCTTGCACAAGGGCTCTGTGGGGAGCGAGTGTCCTGGTTGTGCCCCTGTGACCCTTCTCTCTGTGCTCTCTCATGGCACAGCCAGATCTGCTTTGTCTCTTACTTCTGCCTTTTTCCCCTCCCCTCTCTGCCCCGCTGGTACATCAGGAAAGCCCTGGAAACGCCAGTTTATGGCTGTTTAAAATGCAACTTGTGGATTCAGGCTCTTCCCTGAGCATAAGACTGAATATCACAGGAGACTCATGGAGCATCAAAATACTAAGACTGAGATGAACTGAAACAACAAGGATTGTTGCTTTTGCAGAACACTTTATTTAATCATTATTATTAGATGCTATAAGATCAGAGGGATATCTTTGCTGTAAAAGGATTGGTATCTTCATGGCCAGTTGTAGCATGAGTGCTGGTATTACAGATAGGATTGTCACAGCAATTTTGAAACAAGTTTTGATATTCAAACGTTGGTAAAAGCAGCTCTGGTTGGTTGAGTCTTGTTGGCTTTCCCAGCACAGAAACCACTCCCACCACAGTTAGTTGAATTGTTACTCCAGCTCGTGCTCATTCTCCAACTTCCATGTTTGGGAGCTACAGGGACTTGGGGACTGGACGATTAATTGGCCCTGCAGCCTGAAATGAAAGTAGAAAGAGGTTATCTTTTGAGAAGGGATTATATTGATAATGGACTCTTGTCCTTACCCTCCATGCCTGATTCCACAGCACCACAAGCACACCAGCTTTTTATAACTGATGCTATAAGCACAACTCCCATGTTACTCAAGCTACTCACCACTGCTTTGCAGACCAAGACCATTCTTCAGGGTGGTGATCAGGGGATATTTTCCCTGCTTGCAGAAAGTGCCAGTGAAATCATCCAGATCGATGGCCCAAACCATAGCACCCCCAAAATTGCCCTTCTTCAGCCAGTCAACCTGTTCAGTGCCAGGGGAGAGATCCCAATTAGTCTGGGGACCTGCTGCTGCAGAAGGCCTCCTGCCTTCTTACTGGCACGGCCACACATCCCCCCGTACCTTGATGTTGAAGCTCTTGATGTTGTCATAGCCAACCCATTCACTGCCTTTGTAAGCGTAGGGCACGTCCTCAGCAGCATCCCAAGCCTGGGTGGCTCCATTGTCCAGGAATGTGCAGATCTAGGAAGAAAAGGGCAGAGAGGGAGAAGTTAGCAAGTGTCCTACAGAAGAGGGCACTTGGCATGTTCCATGGGTGTAGGGGTTAAGCATTCCCTGCTGGGCAGTTTGAAGGGTGCCTGTGTTCTTGGTGGCCAGCATGTGTAGGAGCACACATACCTCGTAGTAAGCCAAGAATCCAGCTTCCTTTGTGTAAGGTCCAGCTGGCCCAGGTCCAGTTGCTGGTGCCCCAACAGCGGTGTTAGATGGGTTTTGGAGGTTGAAGTTACGTCCATAGGTTGGGAATCCAACAAGGAGCTTCTTAGATGGAGCACCATTGTTCTTCCAATAGTTCATAGCATATTCCTATAAAAGAAACAGCACAGTTCAAGTGTATGCCAGGATTTGTAGGCAGGAATATGACTTCTCTGGCAGAGGCTCCCAAAAGGTACTTACAACACTGAGTTGGCTGTGACTGCCATCGTACAGAGGGCTGTTCTCACCAGTGACTCTATCCCAAGAGCTGTGGAAGTCATAAGTCATCACGTGGATGTAGTCCAGGTACCTGTAGAGAACATGGCACACATCTATCTCCTGGCCTATTCAGTCATCTAGACCCAAAGGTTTCTGTAGTGCCAGACGTTTACCCCACCACATCCCTGGCCATGTCCCCATTTTCTGCAAATCTGGGTTCTTCAAGACCATTTTTGAGCTGGCCTTGAAGTGCTGGTTTCTGACAGATAGTGGCAGAGTTTCCCTCAACCATTTGAAGGAAGACCATTTAAGTCACAGAAATGAGACCTGGGGGTTTGCTACTCACTTTCCAAGCTCAGGAATCTCGTAGCCAGCCTGAACGGTGGAAATTCCTGCAGCAACAGCAGCGGTGACCATGAGACGGGGCTTGTTGGACTGTTTGGCTTCCTGCTCAAAGGCTGCCACCAGTTCCTGAGGGATGCCAAGAAACGGGTCTCACTGTGGACTCTCTGGCCTGGACTGAGGTTTTTTCATCTGTCCAGGGCTCTGGCCAGAGCTGTGCAGAGCAGAGGGCTTGACCAAAGCCTGTTGTTTCACCCTACCTTAACGAGGACAGTAAAGAGAGCCTTGTCCTGGGCTGGGCTGCCCCTGGACCCAGGGTATTCCCAGTCAAGGTCCAGCCCATCAAACTGATGCTGGCGCAGGAATTTGATGACGGACTTGATGAAGGTCTGGCGGTTTGCGGGTGTGGACACCATTGTGGTGAACCTATGGAAGCAGAGCAGGAGAGAGTTGGGGTTTGGCTGGTGCCTCTTGCCCCCTCTCCCTCCGCTTCCAGGGTGCCGTGATGGGAAGTATGAACTTACTTGGCTGTCCCGAAATTCCATCCTCCAATCGCCAGGAGGGTCTTCAGATTTCTGTTCCTGCAAAAAGAGGGACAGGATCATGTTTTTATGGCAAAAAAATATCAGCTGTAGTTGCCGTTCTAGGCTGTGATCTCTTGCTGTGACACCGAAAGACCAAGTCTGGAGTGCCATCAGCCAATGTCACCACCCTCAAAGGCCCGGCGCTGGCAGCTTGTCCTCCCCTGCCCTCCCCTGCCCATCACTCTCTGCCTCTTCTCCTCGGGATCCCTCAGCCACGGATGGTGCTGCCGTTGTGCAGAGAAGAGCTGCTGGGAGGGCCTGGGAGGGAGAACCAGGGATGGCCTTTGCT